CGTCACCAGTTGACACCTCGCACCCCTACACGTCAGTCAGAGATGATGATACATACAACGGTAGGGAATTAGCTTATTTTTTCAGAGCACAAAAGTTCGCTAATTCTGTAAGTATCATATTAAATTCAGTAGGAAAAACTTGCTTTATGTCCTATAGAGACTTGGCAAGGTATGCCTACATCCTTGGACTACCAATTTTACTTTTGAAGCATTTAACTGTTTCATTTGTTTTCGAAACTTTGTTTCATTTGTTAGTAGGATTTTCTTGCCCTTATTCTCTTACATGAGTACCGGGTACAAGATTTCCTGCGCCCTTGATTTAATTTAATCATTTAATATCTTTCACTTAACGTTAATTGTTAAAGATCACACAGGATAGGTACCAGTTGCCACGTTGTCCTGTTTCTGACATTTCATTATTGAACATTCGTGTACCTTTATTTGCTAATTTCACCATGTTTCGTCTCCAAACTTTCCGTGCAAATCCAGCAGGTGAAATAGGGACTTTGAGTCGTGCCAAGAGGACTGAACTACAAACTCTTGCACATGAGTATCAACTAGAAGTTCCCTACCAAGCCAACAAAAATGACCTACACAACCTGTTGCTGGATTACTATTTAGAGCAAGGTAAGATAGACTCTGAAACTCATGAAACTTACTATATTGCAGATAAAACTGATTTGGCAACGCTGAAACTCAAACTAGAGCTGGCCAAGATTGAACGTGAGCAGCAAAGGGAAGCCCTCGAACAACAAGAACGAGCTGCTGCCATACGAAGAGAGGAACAAGAACGAGAAATCACCCTCAGAGAACGTGAAGCTGCCTTGAGGAGAGAAGAACACGAACGTGGACTCGCCCTCCAGGAACGTGAGGTTGCACTACTCCAGGAGCGGGAACGAGTACAGCTTGAAACCAAACGACGCGAGTTGGAGATGCAACGCGAACATGACAAGCAACAAGCGACTCTGGCTCTAGAGTGTCGTCAACGGGAATACACGTTGGAAACTTCACACCTCGCTCAACGCCAGCAAGCTACTGCCAATCTTCCCGTCAGTTTTAATATATCACATGCAAGTAAGTTAATGCCATCCTTTGTAGAAGCAGAAGTTGATGTGTTCTTTACCACCTTTGAAACCCTTGCTAATCAACTCAGTTGGCCTGTCGACCAATGGGCCACACTTCTCAGAGTCCATCTTACAGGTAGAGCTGCAGTCACACTCAGTACTTTGGCGTCTGAGAATGACTACTACACTCTGAAACAAGCAGTGTTGGACGCCTACCTCCTTTCTACTGAAAGTTATAGAAGGAAATTTCGTGACCACCTGAAGGCAAGTACCACTACCTTCCTTGAGTTTGCTAACACGAAACGGAGGTATTTCATGAAATGGCTGGAAGCAGCACATGTCTCTACTTTTACAGAACTCGTCAACCTGATGCTTGTTGAAGAATTCTTGAGACGTGTGCCGCCTCCTGTCCGCCTCTACTTAGCAGATAAAGAAGAAACCGACTACCTGAAGTGTGCTAAGTCGGCTGACACTTACAGCCTCATCCACCGGCTGACACCTGAACCATCCTCCAGTAAGAAGTCGTGGTACAGTTACGAGAAGGTGAGCCCCGATCAAGCTGGTTCACAACTGTACTGCAAATATTGTAGACTCTATGGACATACCATAGACAAGTGTGGTAAGTCTCAATACAAGGGAACCACTGACCAACAACGACCCAAACCAACTCCTCCTAAGTCCGGTAAGCCTGTGATGAATGTTGGTGTTGATGTTAATGATCTTTCTCTTTTCAGTAACCACCTGTATACTGGAACTGTCTCTGCCAACGGTTCAAATCCGGAGGGACGTTTCAAATTGAAGATCTTGAGGGACACAGCGGCTCTACAATCGATCATCTTGAAGTCGGCTGTGCCCAACATAGTCTACACCGGGGAAACAGTCTTCATCACTGACCTCACTGCTACCACTCCATACCCTCTCGCCAGAGTCCACCTGGATTGTCCCTACGTGAACGGGGAAGTCCAAGTCGCCGTCAGGGAAAAGCCTTTTCCCATGCCTGGAGTGCAACTTCTCCTAGGCAACGACTTGGCAGAAGACCTGCAACCGACCAACCTGATCGTCATGGACAAACCCCAGGTGTGTAACTCTGTGCCCAGAAACCCTATTCTCGAGTATGTTCCAGCAGAGGTTCAAGAGAGTGATGAAGTTTCTCCTCCGGTTCTCGTGACCACCCGTGCACAAGCCGCACGTCCACAGCCAGCTGACTCTACTGCTACCGCTGTCCCTCAAGACCCTCAGAAACTACCCCCGCATCTGACCAAGTTGGAGTTCCGTAAGTTGCAGAGGGAAGATCTTACTTTAACACCATTGTTTTTCCAGGCTGAGACTCAACCCGACAGTATTCCTGGGTTCTTCCTAGAGAACGACTTGCTCTACCGCAGATATAGACCCAGTAAACTGAAGGAGGAGGACGATTGGGCCAACACCGAACAACTTGTGATTCCCACCAGCCTGCGGCCCACTATTCTACACCTGGCCCACGGAGCATTCTCCCACTACGGCTTCAACAAGACTTACCATGGGATTCGTCAAGACTACTACTGGCCAGGTATGGTAAACAACGTCAAACAGTACGTAAAACAGTGTCATACATGTCAGAGGGCAGGCAAACCGAACGTCTCCATTCCCAGAGCACCACTGATTCCCATACAGGTGCCTGCGGAACCTTTCCACAGACTCATAATAGACTGTGTTGGTCCTTTACCTCGGACCAGTTCAGGTAACGCCTACATCCTAACCATCCTGTGTCCTACCACCAGATTTCCCATAGCAGTTCCAGTGAAGAACATCACGGCTGCTACGGTTATCAAACATCTATTGAAGATCTTCACTCAATACGGATTTCCCAGGGAGATTCAAAGTGACTGTGGCACCAACTTCACCAGTGATCTCTTCAAAAGAACACTGGAGGAGTTCAACATCAAACAGGTATTGTCCAGCCCTATCATCCTGCTTCACAGGGTTCTCTTGAACGTAGTCATCAGACCATCAAAGCACTCTTGAAAAAGTTTTGTAGTGAAACCTCAAAGGATTGGGATAAGCAGATTGACCTAATAATGTGTATTTTCAGAAGTCTCCCCAATGAGTCCCTAGGAGTATCTCCTTATGAGATGCTCTACGGCCGTAAGTGCCGTACTCCCCTTAAGGCTTTCAAAGACTCTCTCAGAGATGCCACCTTCAGTGAGCATCAGAATGTGCCCCAGTTTCTTCAAAACCTTCAACACATTCTAGAGAGAGTCCACCGCTTTGCTCATGATAATCTATTGAAAGCCCAGGTGAGAATGAAGACTCATTACGACCAGACCAGCAAAGTAAGAAAATTCAAGCCGGGAGACTTCGTCCTTGCTTATTTCCCTATCCCCGGTTCACCTTTACAAAACAGATTTTCAGGACCCTACTGCGTCAAAGAGTGCAGGAATAATAATAATTATGTGATAGAGACTCCTGATAGGCGGCGGAAGACCCAGCTGTGCCACGTCAACCTCCTGAAGCAATATAATGGTACTCCTCCCACTGTCTTGATTAATTGTTCTACCTTCACAGAACCCTACATCCACAGTGAGACCATCCCGGCTTCTTCTCCCGAAAGCACTGACAAGGAGTCGGCGCTTTCTAATTCCAAAATCCTTAATGATCTTCCCAAATGCTTTCAGGATAATAATCGTGCTCCTATGCCCTCTTCTAATTCCACTCTCACCTCGTCAGATAAGCCCTTCATCCTCCATGTCGACGCCAATGGTACCGACGTGGGTGGTGTCGTGATGCAGCAACGAGGCGAGAAGAATACACCTGTCAGCGACTACTGCTACAAGGATCTACGGAACAATTGGCAAGGAGCTACTCTTCCTCATCCTGAAGCTTCAGCACTTCACTCCACACCTGAAAAGTGCTCGGTCCACCATCAATACGGACCACACCACCCTACACCTCCTGCAGCACGCCCACTTCTCATCTCAACGTCTTCTACTATGGGCTTGCTACCTGCAGAAATTCAACCTGGAGACACGCTATACCAAGAGTCTGACAACATCTTAGCCCATGATCTCTCCAGAGTTTATGAAGTAGAAGCAACTCCCTCCATTACTCCACCACATAACGACGTACTTCTTCCAGAACCGCAGGCTTCGGGGGAGAGTTGTGACGATAATCTCCTTCAAGAGATTGAGCCTGCTCTTCCCTCCAAAATTACGTCTTCACAATTATATAAAAAGACTATGGAAGAAATGTCCAACAACGACAACAACACCAGCACCAGCAAGGCTTGCCAGGGTGAGCAGAAACGTATGCAGCCCGCCACCTGTTCGGACCCAAATCACCAAACTACCCGTTGATCGCTACGGCTCCGCTGATTGGTCGCCGGTCTGGCTGCACCTGCACTCGCCCCCAATACTACCTGATGTCTGGGGTCGCCCCAACATCAGTCCTCAGAATGTTCCGTGCTTTCGTAGCCAGCACTCCTCCCAGCTAGACTCTAGAGTGTACTGAGAGAGGTGGTGGCTTTAAGCCAATATTCCAGCACCTCCCACTTAACTTTTGTGTTGCACTTCTTGTTATTTTGCCTTAACGTAACTTTCATTGTGTCATTTAAGTATTCTTATTATTTTGATTCATTGATTTTATTATAAGTATTTGTTTGTGCATTATTTTCATGTTTTGATTTATTTAACGTAATTAAAATTTCATTGTTAAAGTTTTACTTGTGTTTTGTGTGTCTTCTCCTTACCTTACCACAGACGAAGTTCCAGTTTTTTCTATTTTTTTTTATAACTATGTGACGAGGCCATACCCCTAGCCTTAAACAGCCGAACACCAACGCGTTACCGTCACAGTTGATATAGAGTCAAACAGTTAGACAAGTGCAAACAATTATTTCAGATCCATCTTTATACAATGTATGTACAGTATTGTATTCACTTTTATCTTCATATTTTCCAGGTGAATCTATTTCCTGGGCGACGTCCACTTGTTAAGATATGTCAACCAACAAATAGCCAGCACCACAATATCTTTGCAAAAAATAAACCTTCACTTAAAGATCTTGGTAAGTAAATTAGCAATTTTGTTAAGACGATACCTTTTTATTGTCTTTCTCAAATTGGATTCCACATCATGCAGTCATACTGGTTTAACGCTTTCTCCTCATAATTACCAGACCTCACCTCCACATCATATCTCGAAAAGGCCTACAGTATTTGCACTGACTTCAGTCTTACAACATCTGTGTATCCAGTATTCAAAAGGGAATACGTGTGCACGATGATGCAATATTTAATAAGCATATTTGCACCCTAAGCTTTTAGCTACAGCCTATTTTTAGTAATTTTAAGATTTTTCTACAACTTTTTGGCCTAGTATACTTTAAGAAAACTACAGCACTGCAAAATTGGTGTGTAGATACTCTATTGTAATTGGGTCATGTACTGAATAGATTTTTCATATTTTTAACCCTGATTGCAGCATTTATAGGAAACAATTATATAACCACTGATCCACCACTATGACCTCCAGGTTTTCAGTTATCAACTGACCTGCCTTTGCTATTTATGGTGAAAGTGATAATACAATGTAGCAGATTTATGTAGTTAAGTTGAAGTAAAACAAAATTGGCAGTACAGTACAGTAACAAGTGAGACAAACAATGCTAGGATTGATGCTTATGTAGAATGTAAATGATTTCCAGTAGAAAATGAACATTAGTGAGTCGTGTTCATATAGTTGGGGAAGGGGGGGGGGGTTTAAGATTTTCCCAAGCTTTTTAGCACGTGAAGTCAGTTATAACTGAATATGCAGAGTACCACCATTCATTACCACATTTGAGTAGATCATGCAATACTATTATTGAATTAATTGATAAGGGAAGTATGATAATGCAATGAAATTTTTTTTTTTTACTTTCTAGGCATGAGTCCAAAGACAAGCAGTGGTCCACATGTAGGGCTGAATCAGATGGGCTACGATGGTCTGGGAGGTCACCACAAGGTGGACGAGTTTCCCAAGCCAAAGCAAGTTTTTCTTAAGAAGAAGACAGGAATTAAAGTAGTAAACAAAGGTGGCTCAGGCAGTATGGTTCAAAGCACTACCCTCAAAGACTTCTTTCAAAATACATTTGATGATTAAAGTTTAACATATACTGTATATATACATATGTGTTTCTGCATTTGAAATATGTAATAGCTTTTGCAGTTGTCTTGAATGCTAACATTAAATAGAGCTAATGTCATACAATGTATGTTATGCCCTTAGAAGGATGTCGACCTATATTCTGTAAAAAGATTGATGTAAGAAGTGATATATTACTCTGCTATTCCTGATGTGTGTTGTCCCAGTATGTGTTCTCATTACTTAATGTATGGTGATTAATATGTGAAAATAAATAGTCTCCTTGTAAATAGTGACTAAGTTGCCTGTCGATTATTTCTTATTTCGTTTTGAATAAGTGAGATCTTCACTTCTATACTGTTTGTTTGTTTCATACACTAATTACATGAACACAATTTTTGTTCCTGGGTAGTAAGTAATTACTTAAGTGTAGCTACAGGATGAGAGCTATACTTATGGTGTCCTGTCTTTTCAGTGTCTTGTTTCAAAGTGTCACGTGAGGCTTTGAAACTACTGACAATTTTTGTGTCCACTGCCTCCACACTGAACTTGTGAGAAAGATCCACCATTCTTTGTCTGCAAAAGAGAGGATTCTTTTCTTGGCACCTTTGTTTCCTTATTGGAGTTCAATCAATGACCTCATGTTCTTGAAGTTGCAGATTTCAAGAATCCCTGTGTCAATTTTGTCAATTCCAATTACAATCTTGAACATAGTGAGCATATCGCTTCATTACCTTCTGTCTTCTAGCTTTGACATTTAACACCTCAAGCCTCACCTCGGCTCTTGTTTTTCAGTTCCAAAAGCAATTTTGTAGCATGTCTTTGCACTTTTTCCAGTTTATTGATGTGCTTCTTGAGATATAGGTATCATACAACTTTTGTATATCCCAATTTTGGTCTCACAAGGGTTGTGAATAGTTTCTTTAATATATCACCATCATTTGTATTTTTTTTTGTATCATTTGTAGAATTTGTATTTAAAGGCAATTCTAAAGTTGTTAAAAAGCATAGCATATGTGCCTTGCACAATATTCCTTATGTGGTGCGCTGATGACAGATCTAGGGGGTGGTTTTAGAGAGTAGATTCTCTGTCAGAGTTCTTTAAGGCCTTTTCACAATTTGTAGGTTGTGTGTGGTCTATTTTCTCCTATTTCACATTCCATAACATGGCATTTATTTATGTTGAATTCCATTTGTTGAGTGTTGCTCCATATACAATATTTTTCTGGGGGGGGGGGGTTTGGAGCCACCTTTTGCCTCCCTGAAGTTAGTATCTGACAGTGTACCATACTACTAGGTGATATCAGTCACTTAGTTCTATTGGCTTACCAGGAAGCATGAGCCAGAACCTGGCCCCCCCCCCCCCCTCACAGGTGTGCTGGGAGCGGTGACACACATGATAGACACTAGTAAATTACTAAAATTTTTATCACCACTGAAGATGGCACCCAGAAAGTTAGTGAAATAAAACAAACTAGAGCTGGCTTCAAAGGAGACTGCATCCTCGATAACCACCCAACAAACTCCCAAAACTATGTAAACAAATGATAGAAAATTCATTAGCACCTTCTCACTCACCCCACCTTTCCCACTGGTTTGGTGTCCAAGATTACTTAATGTTGGACTACCACTGTGTGAAGTTAGACTAGGACAAGTGTGCAAGCCGCTCGCAGAGGTTATCAACAATGTAAACTGCTTAGAGCAACAACACAAGATTTTGAGATCTTGTCAAATATAGGTGTGTCTTATCTCTACCTGCTGATGCAAGGACACCAGAGATCGGTAGCATAAAAATTTGTATCATGTGGTGCTAGTATAGTTAGAGGATACAGTACTTTTGTGGGATTGATTCTGCAGTTTGCAATGAGGGAGAAAGGATTTCCTAAACATCACGTGCTTAACATACAAATTTATTCACTAAATTAGTACACAAAATGAAAATGTATATACACATGGAAATGGGATAATTCTACTTTTAAGAGGTGTCATAGGCAAATCTATGCACAGTACCATCTTTTGGCAAGATACCCAGATGACATAACGCAACTTAGCCTTAACACTGGGAATTATGACCACCTCAAGCAATAACAGCTGCATAACACCACTGCTGTTTGCAAAAGAACAATTTGGAGTTCAAAGTGATGTTCTGACCAGACTAGAACTGATGCCCTAAACTATTCCATCTAAAAAGATGGAATAGTTTAGGGCACCAGGATGGGAGATGATACTTCAGGATGTTAAAAAAATGGATAATCTTACAACAGATGGGAAGGCGAGTAACTGTAAAGAGTATCAAGGAGCAGGGATGTCTGCGAGTATCTGAGAGATGGACAAGCTGTGGCTCAAATTCATGATTATTTTTTACCGAGACACTCTACCATAATCTACACAGTAATCTAAAAAAAATTATCACTACAAGTTGAAAATTCTGATCATGGGCATAATATTTTTGATTTAATTAAAAAAAATATTGTAAATGAGTGAAGTAAAATGTATAATATGTACACATACAGCACATGAATTGGACAACTCATATAAATGTGGGTCATCAGGTTTGTCCACAGTATAAAGCTACAAACTTTGACGTCATTACTGTACAATATTGTCCAAAAAAATTAACGTTTGATATAATTTGCTCTCCCATGAGCAATTTGATAAAGGAAGGGAACTGACCAAGTTAACAAACCTGTCATAACAACAAGCAAAATAAATTATATTTTTATCATCTTCACTTCACAGCTATTTAACATGCCCCCAGGCCAGGCAGTTCAAATGTTAACACAGTGATAATGCCACAGTTGATCAAAAACATATCTTCTGTTTTTAAAATAAGTAACACTGTTGAATGTCTCAACATGCATATTAGGGCAATTACCCTGTATAGCAGAGATTTATGACTATTTTTACAGAAAAGAGCCACATTAGCAGTCATACCTGGGAATGTACGCATGTGATAATACCTAAATACTATATATAAAAAAAGCATCACAATTGATCAAGTGTTTGTATGCCACTTGGTATGTAAGGCAGAAACAGAAGAACTATTGAACAATTCAAGTCACTCATATCCTCAATAAATTTGGTTCTGGGTATTAAGGCCAATCAACTTCTGAATGATTATTAAGGCACCACAATAGCTTACTAACCCACTAGTAATTATACTTTAGCCCTGAACTTAGTTCAGGACCAAAGTAAAATCAGTACATACACCAAAAACTGCCCAAGGTACATTTGTTTCACCAACACTGGAATACACACCGCTGGTATGGAATCTGCACCTAGTGAAGCATAAAGCCAAAATTGAAAAAGTATAAGGCTTACAACAAGTTTGGTACCAGAGCTAAGAGGGCTAAGCTATGAACATAGGCTAATAGAACTAGATCTCACAACCCTAAAGGATAGATGGAATCAGTGGAGATATGATCACAACTTACAAGATACTGGGGGGAATAGATAAGATAAGGATAGCTTCTTCAGATTGAGAGAAAGCAGGACAAGAGAACACAGGTGGAAACTGGAAGCGCAGATGAGCTGAGGAACGTAAGAAAGCACTCGTACCCTATACGGGTAGTTAACAAATGGAATACTCTAACAGAGGAAGTTGTGGAAGCCACCTCCATCCACAACTTTAAAGACCGATTCGACAAAAAATTTGAGAGTCACAGTAGTTAGGCTGAAACATGATAGGTACAACAAGGCTAGTAGGCAGAGCATAAAGAGCTAGACCTCACTCCCCCATAGACACTAATAGGTAAGTACCTCTCGGTGAACATACCCCCTTTATGCTCAATAGAGTAGACGAACAGCTAAGTAACTTACAAGAGAATCCAGAATGCTGTCAACCAAAAAAAAAGTACTAATGAATGGAGATATTGACAGAAATAATTGCAGGTGGTAGAAGTCAAATTAATATGCATTTTGAGAAATTCAAACAGATTTAGAAAGACATATTTAAAGTATATATATAGATAGTGATATATCTTAATCTAAATAGATTTACATGTAATAAATAACATTTATTGCAGTGAAGCATACAATCAAGGTTGGAGTCACACACCCGCACCTAATACATAACATAATTGCATCCGATGTTAATTGAATTAACCAAAATAACATGGATATACTTATGGGTAGGCGTATAATGTCGTGCCTCATCCATAGACTGGGGCGCTGTGATCAGGGTAGTAGGCCTGGCCCTCATAAGACACCTGGCAATGTAGAACACCATATTATGAAGTAACAGAAACTGAGTAATCTGGTGGTGACTGTAGCTAAACACTGTACTTGAAGTGTCCTTGAGAATGGTCCTATAAAAGACCACAACTAAACACTACTCACACAGTTCCAGAGAATGGTCCTTTAGAGACCGTAACTGAACACCGTACTCACAGTGTTTCAGAGAATGGTCCTATATGATACAATTTTGCAAACTTTTGTAATTATATCAAGGTAATCATGACATTTTAGATAATGTTATTTACGTTTCCAGATTGGCTCATAGAGATGTAAGATAGGAATAATATTAGACCTACTCCTTTTATCAATTTTAAATACATGTGGCATCAGTAATATACATGGTGAGGCAGTGTATAACCTGGTAGACTCTGAAACATATACATTATGCAATGGGTACTTACCTGGGCCTGATGGCTGCTGAAGTAATCTTCTGGACCTTAGTCTGTTGTAAACTGTACCTGATTGTATGATCAATTACTGCTACAGTAACTGATCTATTATCCACCAGGCAATAAATTTACCATTCTGGCTGTACTACAGATAATGTAATAGATGAATTACTAAAACATGTCAGTTATCCATACAGTGTAGTTAACCGTACATTCTAGAGGCGGCACTCACCCCAGCCACTAATGAAAGCTGACCCAGTATTGCTTCAGTAGGACACAGATATTCAGGTACATTATTACTGGATAGATCAAAGAAAATAATTCTGCCATTGCTGAGCTAAAATTCTGCCTGGCATTCACCCAGAGCTAGGTAGATGACTATAAAAAAAAAGGTTGCCAACTCCTTAACAATGTATTAGAGAATATCAAGCCTCCAAAAGCAAACACCAAACTAAAAGCTCACTTGAAGAGACCAATAATCTTCTACTTGGTAACACAACACACGAGCTGACGGTATGGAAAAACTCCAGGGGAATATTTTGAGCAAACCCAGCTCAAGGTAGAGAAGTTTTTATGGAAAAATAAGTTACCAAAATCAACAATTGAAAAGGTTCACGGTGTTGGGTAGCCAGCAACCGGCACAATCTGGTCTACTTGAATGATGATCTTTGTCCTGGATCTTCTGAACGCCACCAAACTCTCCTCTCAAAATTGAAAGCTATGAATGTCGGCAAGATTGCACACTTCATCAACATATGTTTAGTCATCAAGGGACTGAACTTGAAGTCACTTTTGGTCATCTTTCTGTCAAAATATAACACATGCATGCAGTGCCCTACAAAAAATGAGGAAATCTTTCAAGTTGACCCTTGAAGTTAGTATGCTATACCCACTCAAGTTTGTGCTGTAATTCCAGGTGTGTTGAAATATCATCCAGCTATGTGGTGAAATACCATCCAGCTGTGTGCTGGAATACGAGAGTTTAGCAGGCAGTGCTAATTCTCTCTCTACCCTAAATACACTTAAAAGATTTTTTGTACTGTTCCTAATACAGTAATTAATATTAATTATAAAAAATACAAATATTCTCACTTTACCCACAATGTACATAAAGATTTACTGTTCCTGAGCCCACCTTAACCAAAAGAACATATAATTACAAAATCAAATATTGCATTGTGGGTTGGTAAGGGTCATGTTTGTCAATGATTTCTTTCAGGACTCTTTCCTGTGTTGTGAGCATTGAAAAAATAGTTCCTGTAGTGAAATAGTTACATAGGTGAAACAAGTTGTGTGATGTTGACGTGCTCATCAAAGGTAGCATGATGATACACCTTCTCTATGATGACCTCTTCCATATATTTATTAGTGTATCTGTTGTTAAGGTGGACCTTCTTCACTTTACCGAGTTCCTTGTTAACGAGCTTCTAACTCTAACTGTGTGGAAAGAGCGTGGGTGACGTAGGCATTAAGACACAATTCTATGTAAGTTTTCTTAGCGTAGAGTGAAGTGTAGAAGACCCCATTCATTTGCAAGACTGTTATATCTAAGAAAGGTACTTTGCCTTTATTGTCCAATCTCACAAGTAAATCTAAATTCAGCTATTTGCTGGAAAGCGTCCTTCTACAGTACCAAGTGTTCTCTGTCAGTTACCTACAAGAAGAGGTCATCGCTATAGCTACAATAGATGTCAGGTTAAAGGTCCATATCAACCAGGACTTTCTCCTTATCAATGCTCATATAAAAAATTGCAAATATGACACCTAGGATAATGATATTATCTAATTATCTAATTGGTTGTACTCAAGTCATCAGGGATCAGAAAAGGTTCTTCTTTAGCACATGCTTCTAACAACTGCTTGCAACACTAAACGGCTCTTCCATGGTAGATGCCTGTGAATCTCTCAACAGCTTAACTAACTACTGTATTTTGAAACATTAAAGCTGAATGCATAGTAGCAAGTCGCTGAATCAACCTATATGAGGGTGAAGGTATCTACGTTATGATAAGATGAAGCTTATTGATCGTAACATTTTCACAAGTATAACCAGGTCTTACTTTCCATTAATTTTTGGCAGGTGGAATCCATTCAGCATTATCAGTATAAACCAATTTGATTACCTTGGTTTTCAATTTGTAGTAGAATCCTTCATCTTTTGGAACTTGGCATGATTAGGGAGGATAATGTTCAGATTCTCAATACTGTATATTCACATATTTTAATTATTTACATTGGAGACTTATCAACTTCTGAAGATTATGTTCTTAGTGTCATGAAGGACCTTACCTTCAATTGTTGTAAAGTGTTTCCTCCCTATACCATAAACTTTGTCTGTAGTGCATTCTCAGTGGTGACTTTCCTCTGTCTCAAGGCTGAATATGTCATCCAGCAGGATCTCTTAACTCCACCTTTCAGACCATCTAACTTGGTCAGGACATAACTTGGCAGTTAATGCCAAAATTAAGGAGAGAGATTTGGCCCTCACTGATATCGATTCCTGCAAGACTCGCCAAATAATGTCAGTTTCTTTGTAATCTTCGTCTCTGTGTTTGACGACGTCTGTCTACAATTTGGTCGAAGCATAGGTCAGAGGTTGATCTGTAGGCTGGCGTCAAAGGTAAGACAGTGTTCATCTGTTGGCTTGTACAGTATCAAGCTGTAGCTGGATTTTGTAAATACTGATTTCATTTTCAGCTTTGTAGATCTGATATCATAAAAGATCTTGGCAACACTATGTAGAAGGCCTGGTTTTTGCTCCTGGGCTATATTCAGTATCATATATCTGCAAGCTGACTGCTTCCAAAATATGTGCAAAATTGCTTCATTTAAAAGCAGGGGTCCAATTAGTACACTAACATACAATTCCACAAATCTGATGAGCCAAAGGCTCTCAACAGTTTTCCACTAAACATAATGTGAATTACTAACAGATTTATAATTTTGTTAATCACTTACCAAACCATCAACCAGAAGACCTGGTAGGAGACCTGGCCCTGAGAGCATTGTCATATTGTCCCCCGGGAGCACCACAAGGTTAATACTGTATGACTCGGCGTATGCCCCTCAGGAATCCGGTATGGACCCATCTTGCCTACTCATGGATAATAGATCAGTAACTGTATATGATATAATGGTTTTTACCTTTCTAGGCACAGTAGGCACTGTAGGAGTGGCAGTGATGACCTGCAGTGACCTGGTCCAGGAAGCTGTGTGCACTGATCTAAGCTAGCCAGCTGTTGCTATCATGGAAGTCAAGAGTGTGTCATATCTATATTAGTGTAGAAAGATGGAACCAGCACTAACCTCAGCTTGATAGCCATTGTAGTGGTCTGCAGTGTAGGTCACTACCTGCTTGCGACCATCGGGGAGGCGCACATAGTACTTTCCCTTTACCACATTTCCGTCAGAATTCTCAGAGTGGCCGAAGTCGCTGCCCGTCGCATGATCAGCCACACCATAACCAAAGTCATAAGGTATGGGAGCCTGTTGGCATAACGTGGATCAAGTAAAGGTAAATGTGAAGGTGATGATGGAATATTTAATGATGGAGAAGACATGATTTGATTGAAGGCGAGGTGAAGTGAGAGAATGAAGGGGTTGAGAGATCCAAAAGAAAGAGGTACAGCTGTACCTCTGTGAGTACAACTGAAGGAAGCTGAGAAAGGGTAGAGGAAGTCCAATGTTGCTGGATGGGGATGAGCTGTGATATGGAAAATCACTGAGTGTGTAGAAGGACTGATGGTACAGCCCATCCTCGTAATGTTTCCCAACGTCAAGAAAATGGTAAATTTAAAGTCTTGTCTCCTAACCTACCAGAGGACCCAAAACATAAAATGGGAAAGTACTTCACTTTCGTGAGCCACTTCCATTTTCTAGTACAACAGTTTTTTACCTCATGTAATGCATGAGTGAAATGCGACGTTCTTTGCAGAAGGACAGGTTGCTGGCGAGCCATGATGGCCGACTATGATGGAGAGAAGGCAGAAAAGCTGCGACATGAAGTAAACATGAACAAAGAGAAGACGAGCACAACTAGGGACACTTCACACACAAGGGGAGAGAGCAGGTAGACAATTACTTTATGTAAATGAATAAATAAACAGGAAATACAAGATATACTGAATTTACATTAGACAAATAGTGAGTTGAAATAGAACTAGAATATTTTGGTGATTAATTTCAAAGAAAAAATGTATAAATTTAAGAGAAAAGTATACTAATAAAATAATGTTCCAGGTAATACATTACAGCAAAGAATAGTATCATGAAAGAAAGAAAGATGATACAAAATGGGAATAAAAAACTTAGAATTACAGTGTAGAGATAAAAAATAATGGAGAGCTGAGGAAAATTTTAAAATAAATATTTTATACTGAGGCTAGCTACACTGAGGAGTAATAAGACTGAGACTAGCAACACTGAGGAGCAATAAGACTGAGACTAGCTACAATGAGGAGTAATAAGACTGAGACTAGCTACACTGAGGAGCAATAAGACTGAGACTAGCTACACTGAGGAGCAATAAGACTGAGACCAGCTACATTGAGCAACAATAAGACTGAGACCAGCTACATTGAGCAACAACTCACGTAATGTTCCTTGGAGTAAGCAGCACCGGCCCCGTAGCCCCCACCAACCTCGGCCACACCTGCCACCACCACCGCCAGCGTCGCCAACACCACCACCTGCAGGAGTACATCGTGTCACACTAACTTTGTGGCATCCTATTTATTTATTTATTTATTTATTTTTTTATTTATTTATGCAAGAGTTCTTACATTCTTGTATAGCCACTAGCACGCATAGCGTTTCGGGCAAGTCCTTAATCCTAATTTTCACATTCACACACACATCCCCGGGAAGCAGCTCGTAGTAGCTGTATAACTTTCAGGTATCTATTTGCTGCTAGGTGAACAGGGATATCAGGGTGAAAAGAAACTCTGCCCATTTGTTTCCGCCTCCGCCGGGAATCGAACCCGGACCCTCAGGACTATGAACACCAACCGCTGTCCACTCACTAGTCAGGCCCCCCAAGACTGTTAATCCTTGAGTCTACCATCTACGGCACTGATGTGCCGTAGATGGTCCTCCAGCATTACTGTTACAACAATACCGCTAACTGCTCGTCCCTTCTCTTCCTTGTTCTAGTGCTATCACAACTGTGTAAGTCTCTGTTTAGATCGCATGTGTTATGTAATTAAGTTACGTCTTTCTGGAGTAGGCTTCTCAGCTAATGTTTTTTTTCAGTCTAGCAGTCATAAGTCCAACCACTTGGGCTGGACGGTAGAGCGACGGTCTCGCTTCATGTAGGTCGGCGTTCAATCCCTGACCGTCCAAGTGGTTGAGCACCATTCCTTTCTCCCCGTCCCATCCTAAATCATTATACTGATCCCTTCCCAGTGCTATATAGCCTTAATGGCTTGGCGCTTTAAGGGCGTTAGCTAAAAACTTTAATAACTATTTCCCTGAAATTGAGGATCCTAGTAGAGGTGATCTGAATTAATAATCCCTTCCTGGAATATATAAAATCATGCGCACTTGATCCTCAAAAGGCTATTTATATTGTCTTGAGTGGAATTTGAGTCGTCTGAATTGATTTCCCATACCATTTCTGTATCGTCTGCAAATTTGCAAATATTACTGCTCAATCCTGAATTTTAATCGTTAATATATATGATAAACAACAGAGTTCTGGGGCACTCCGCTTGCATCAGTTTACCATTCTGGTTTAAGTCCGATTATAATACCTCTTTGGTTCCTCTGATATAACCAAGCCCTAATCGAACTAAGATAGCAAGCCCAATACTGTGAGTATTTATCTGTAATCAGACTTTCTTGAGGTACAGTTTCAAAAGCTTTGCTAAAGTGTGCACAGTTTCACAGTCCTTTTCAACTGCCTCAAATATGTTGGAATACAATGGAAAGCAAATTTATCCATTTGAGGGACCTTCGTAAAATCATTTTGTGAATGCTGCATTAATCTTTGTGTTTTCAAGATGTAAAGGAATCGGTTTTGCGATTATAGATAAAAGCAATTTTCTCACTGGTCATTAAGCTAATTGACCGATAATTCAATAAAAGTACCCCATTCCCCCCTTCTTAAAGTCTGGTACAATATTTGCAACTCTTCACGATTTCAGCACTTTGCTTGACTGTAAGTAATTAGTTTATGTAATTATCATAATTATCAGTTATGTAATTATCATAATTATTATGAAGGTCAAGGGGTCACTTAACTAATCCTTAGTCAAGGAGTTACGATGACTACATAAGCCTTTCTATATATTTGTTAGCTATAAATCAACGTAGGTACAAGTAGGGGCCGGCCGTGGTCTGCCGAGTACAGTGACGGGAAACTTGTACTCTCGGGCTGTGCAGCCAGATACGTGCGTCTCATAAAATGTCATCCACACTTCCGTGGAAATAAACTTGGATATAGCTTCGGCCTCACACCCGTGGGGTCCGCGGTTCGAGTCTCCCAGAGCCCAGGTGAACGGAACGTGCATCTCCTTACCTTGAGAGACATGACTTCAGCGGACGCGTGCTGACGACGCCACAGATGAGAGATGAGTGACACTCTCAGGCTTCTGAGTGTCTGTTTTATACCTGGTGGGACATAGAGGTCATGCTCAGGGGGCTGTCTAGTCAGCCAGTCAGCTGGTCCAGGGTCGTTGTGGCCGTAGGGTGTTACGAAAATAATTATTTAAGAAGGTAGGGAGAGAATGAGAACAGCGGAGTGAATCCATATATAACTTGAAGGGGGTACTCTGGCTGTCTGTCTTCTACTCACACACACATTCTCATTCTCATTCTCTCTCTCTCTCTCTCTCTCTCTCTCTCTCTCTCTCTCTCTCTCTCTCTCTCTCTCTCTCTCTCTCTCTCTCTCTCTCTCTCTCTCTCTCTCTCTCTCTCTCTCTCTCTCGTCTGTATGTCTGTATTTCCAGATCAGACATAAAATATCTTTAGATCACGTGCAAATGTCTTAAGATCAGGTGTAGATATCTGCTGGCTTGTAAGCAATCGCTCTAAGCCTAATAATTGAGTGTATCACATTCAGTGACGCTCTAATCCATCTTCCCTTAAGCAGTCAGGCGAGCGTTGGTTCAGCCTTACACCAGACCACACTTCTGGTAAGCAGCTGTATTGAGATAAGAATTGGTTCTCACCAAGTGAGAACCAATGAAAAACACCGTTTCACCATTCTTCCTTCCGTGAGTGACGATACTTGGCCTCCCAGAGTGACGATACTTGGCCTCTCAGAGTAACGGAGACCAAGTGAAACAAATAAAAAACAACGGTTTCCAGCTCAACAAGACACAGTGTAGGACTGAACACAGGAGATGCTTCTTCACCCACAGGGTTGTAAACCCATGGAACCGCCTACCCGCCGAAGACACAAATCCCCAAAACTTGTTAAAAATCCTACTGGAAAAAAATCCTCAGGGCAAATGTGAGGGACCTTTGACAAGCCTCCGGCTTCCTGTCCTCATCGAGGCCATAGAATGTTAGTGGCCCTCAGGTAACTCACCAATATCTGCACTGTCACCACCACTATCTCAACAGTTGTCATAAGTACGAATTCCTTTACCATCATTATCTGCATTACCAAATCACCATCTGCACCATTACCATAACTACCGACACTATTATCATCACTCTCAACATCATTAATATCACACTCAAGACCATTATCGATGAGTGACCATTACTCTGTCATCACCACCGCTATCAATACCATTACCATCACTACCAAACTATTCCCATCTATATCAAAAAGAAGAAAATTACCATCATCACTATCATCAAGACAGTCATCATCACCATCAATACCAGCACTATCACCACTACGGAGCGCTTAGGAGTTTTCTTGATAAAACACCACACTTACCACTATCATCGCACTATGAGCGTCAGCGTTATCAACACTATCAACACATCAATTTATATTCACAAAGAAGTCACACAAACGGTATATATATATATATATATATATATATATATATATATATATATATATATATATATATATATATATATATATATATATATATATATATATATATATATTAGTATATTTTGGTAGCAGTCTTTCCTGTAGACATATATTATTAAATATGACCGAAAAAGTAAGATTAATAATTCTAACACGAATTTTCTCAATCTTTCGTACATTACGCTTCACTGTTGGAGGTAAATCAAAAATCACTTCTCCAAAATTCATTTTTATTTCTAGTCTGACGCGACACGGGCGCGTTTCGTAAAACTTATTACATTTTCAAAGACTTCACAAATACACAACTGATTAGAACTTGCGTTTCTCTGATTTTATATCTACATTTGAGTGAGGTGGGAAGGGTGATGTGGCATTAACACAAGACAGAACAATAGGGGATATTAATAGGGTATTAAAAGTATCAACACAAGACAGAACAGAAACAATGGGTATTGAATAGAAGTGTTTGTAGAAAGCCTATTGGTCCATATTTCTTGATGCTTCTATATTGGAGCGGAGTCTTGAGGTGGGTAGAATATAGTTGTGCAATAATTGGCTGTTGATTGCTGGTGTTGACTTCTTGATGTGTAGTGCCTCGCAAACGTCAAGCCGCCTGCTATCGCTGTATCTATCGATGATTTCTGTGTTGTTTACTAGGATTTCTCTGGCGATGGTTTGGTTATGGGAAGAGATTATATGTTCCTTAATGGAGCCCTGTTGCTTATGCATCGTTAAACGCCTAGAAAGAGATGTTGTTGTCTTGCCTATATACTGGGTTTTTTGGAGCTTACAGTCCCCAAGTGGGCATTTGAAGGCATAGACGACGTTAGTCTCTTTTAAAGCGTTCTGTTTTGTGTCTGGAGAGTTTCTCATGAGTAGGCTGGCCGTTTTTCTGGTTTTATAGTAAATCGTCAGTTGTATCCTCTGATTTTTGTCTGTAGGGATAACGTTTCTATTAACAATATCTTTCAGGACCCTTTCCTCCGTTTTATGAGCTGTGGAAAAGAAGTTCCTGTAAAATAGTCTAATAGGGGGTATAGG